CGGGGTTGGGTTTTTACTACGGCATGCACGACTATTAGTACACCCCGCCCCCCCCGGTGTTTGCCGTCGGGGTTGGGTTTTCGTCGCTTGGCAACGACGTTGTAAAACAAGCCAATTCACTTCGTGAACTCGGCAACCAGGTTACCGTTTTTTTTTTTTACCTCCGTTTTTTTTTTTGGCGGTAACCATAATGGTGGTCGAGTAGATCATGTTGTGCGGGGTGGAGAACCCTCACTCCGCGCAAGGGGGATGATCGCACCACGTTGTGTTAAAATGGTCAAGCACCCTCGAGGCAGTTACACAGTGCTTACAACTGTCTCTGGAAGTGAAAGCACCAGAAAATAAATTAAGTCATACGCAGCTGTCATCCGTACGCAAGGAAGTAAGCACAAGATGCCGAACACCCTTAGCAGGATGCAGCGCACCCTTCATGCGACTCGCCGAATATCTCACGGCGCTTCGCGCTTGGTGATGTGAGAGCCTGGTCCGGTGAGAACCCGGCGTGCTCCGTCCCGGCTTTGTAGGGATGCGAGGTCAATGGTCTAACGACTACGGCATGCACGACTATGAGTACCCCCCCCCCCCCTCCCCCCCCGCCACTGGTGATGTGTGGTGTGTTTTTGCTTCAGGCCCGACGTGTACATCCCCACGAAAAAGTACGCCCAGGTGGTGACGAACATGCACGAGGCTAAGCGTAGGGCGGACAGCAAGCTCCAGCAGGCTGAGGAGGAGGGCGTGGCGATGAGCAAGGCCGAGAGGTCTCGCTACATGCTGGACAGGAAGACGTGAGAGTTGGAGAGAGTAGCAACAACCCTACAAGGAGCCAAAGCCCTACGCATAGAGCGAAAAAAAAATGGTGGCTGTCGAGATTTTTAGTTGTTCCTACAATAATTTTTGTTTTCCTTTAACCATTTAAAAATGGAAGCAAGACATGTTTTTTTCTCCCTGCAGGAAGCACAACAAGTGTTGAGTAGATTCTCTCAACACTCACTGGTAACTTCAATCCCATGTATCCCCCATGCTGCGATAGTTTCTCGAACGGATAGTCATGTTTTTTCCAGTGAACCTTGTTATTCCGAAGGGGTAGTGTTTCTGTGTTGATACTCTGTTATCTGGTTTTTGTTATCTGTTTTTTTAACCTTGTCAACTTTCCGGCTGGTCGCATGTGATGCAATGCACTGTGGTGTGATGTGATGTGATGAAGATGTGAATGTGATCAAGTATGATGGAATGTGATGTGATGCGATGCAATGTGATGGATTGTGGTATGAACGGATGCCATGTGATGTAATGTGATGTGACGTGATGCAATTTGACGCAATGTGATTTGATGTGATGCATCCAGGAGTCCCGCGGTGGCGACAAAGCTGGAGTTGGAGAAGGCTTCGCAAAGCGCGCACGTGAAGCGGGTCAAGAACAAGCTCAGGGAGATCAAGGCCAGCCTCTTCGCCGCCAGGGATAAGCACAAGACGGGCGCAGAGACGATCGACGTGAGGAAGGAAGGAGATGGGGTTCGCAACCTGGCTCTTGGTGCAGCCCGTCTTTGGCATGATATTTTTCGCTTGGGATTTCAAGAATTAACGTGAAAAAGTAAAGCGATACTTTCCAGTTTTCCCATTTCCCTTGGGGTCTTTGGTGATACCACAAAATATCGTTGACTATATAACCTCATGCCATCGTCGACGTGCCCATGATGATCGTCGTTGACCATTGGCAGTCATGTGGACCGTTGATCATCGAACGTCAATCCACCACCTACGATCAAACCGTTTTTGTTGTTGTTATTGTTGTTGCAGGCGGTGCTTAAGCACCTGGTGGCGCCGCGGATGGGAATGGGACCAGAGGAGGCGTACTTCTGCTCCAAGTTCTTCAACACCCTTCATGCCATCGAGGCCCCAAACTTCAACAGGTACAGCAGTGTGGTAAACCGCCAATCGGTGTATATGGACACCAAGGACGGCAGCGCTGAAAATGAAGTTGGCAAGCGCTGGTGTACACTCCGACGTTTTTTTTCTTCCGTCGGGGAGTCCCTGTTTGTTTCCGCCTCCTTTGTTGTTGGCCAACCACGACGTGACTGACGAGCACCGACCACCGGCGGGAAATGCAAGCTTGCATCCAAGAGTACGATTAATGCCGCTCCTAGAACTTGTACTTGTGGGTCACGCAGTACAGGACAAAATCTGGAATGTTGGGTAAAGAAGACACGTTTTGATGTCTTGTGGGATAGACAGCAGTCTAGCACTTGCTTCCGCCTCCTTTGTGTTGGCCGGCCTATCGCATGTCGCTAGACACACCCCGTCTACTACTATCCACCGCCCCCCCTCCACGCAGTCGGCGGTTCACTCCTCCGGCTGTCACTGTTGCTGTCACCGCTAGCTCAAGATCTTGCACCCGTGCCTCATGTGGTGGCGACTGTGCACTACAGCAGTACTTGTAGCATCCTGTGTAGACATTGTCGCCAACCGTCGTTGCTCGTGCTCCTCCACTGCTGGTCGTGCGGCTTTTTATTTATTTTTTTTCATCACTTGCAATCAGCGCTCACAGCATTCATGCCACGTAAGAGCCCCAATCCGTGGTCACACTCACATACCTTGCCCCCGTGTATCTCGCTCATACCTCTCTCATATTGATATGGACCCTAAGCTCACGGCGTAGCGTATTGTTGTTCTTATCTTGCCGTGGTGGCGAACGATGACATGTCATGACGTGACAGTCTGGTCTTCTACTCCCGATCGTTCGAGGGACTGTCGAGCACCCTGCTGTGCAAGACGCAGTATGAGGCGGCAGGGCTAGGCTTCTTCCTCAAGGACCTCTTGGAGAACGTCAAGTGAGAACACCGTACAGTCCTCGGTTTCGATCTAACAAAGCTTGCTTCGTACTTGTGCCACGACTCGCTCAAGTGGAACCTCCACACATCCCTTGATATTTGGCGTTGACAAATGCGCACTGGATTGGAAACAAGGCAGTCTCAAGGCACGTGATCATTATTAATGTTATTGTAACATTGCTAGTCTCACGTGTCTCACGGAGGCTCGTTGGTATTTGTCAAAGCTTGGAGAGGCTGTACAGTTCACTGCTCTGAGCTTCTCGGAGCCAAGGTTGGGTAGGTAGAGTTGAGTGTGCGCAACCACCTAATTCTGCATCGAGGACTTGCGTGCTTTAGGACCCTGTAGTAAGTGAGAGAGTTTCCGCTCTCTCCCACCCCTGTGGGATTTTCGTGTTTCATCACCATCGTATGGGTATTCCGCAAAAATTGCCGGCGTAGTCCATATGACAGTCCACACTACATTCTATTCTATATTGCGGTTCTGCCCTTGCCGGGAGAAAGGAGTTTGCGGGACATGGTAAGCATGTCGCGGAGAATCGGCATGTCACCCGAGGCAAAAGAAGTCCTTGCCCGCTCTCCGCTTGGGGCCAGCAGCCCACTTATCCCTTGAACCTCTCATGTGCCCCATGTAATCCCCCCTTCCGCTCCTCAAACCCGCGGCAAATTGTTTAATTCCGTGTAGGGAATGGCGGAAACCCAAGAACGAAGCGATCTACAAGATGGAGGCTGGCACGAAACACGGCTTTAAACTCGGCGACACGTCCCAGAGCGTTGTCGAGGGTAAGTTCGCCTAGATGGTTTTGAGGTTGAGGGGGTACGGAGGGTGGTACTGATGAGCTGTGGGTGCCGAGTTTGTGATTGTGCTCTGCTTTCGTTGTCTAGTTTCAATCGTTCCAGCAGGTGCAGTTTTCATCTGGCGCTGTAGACTGCTCTATCGAGCAACTTTTGTTGTTCTTGTGTAATGAGAGAGCAAAGTGGGAGCGGTGGGGAAAGGGACGTCGGGGAGAGGAACCCTTGTGGAATGCATGTGCGTGACCACGGGTTCAAGCAATACCTCCTACGCGGCAGAAATGTATTGAGCTGGAGCGCTGATTCAAGGTGTTGAACAATAGAAAGAGAAAGATCCACACATGAAGCAACGAGGCAGTGGGTCGAAGATCTGTCGCTCAAGGTTTCCAACATCGAGGGCCGCGCTGTATGACAACAAAAAGTGAGCGCGATGGCGCCAGCTGACAGGCCATTTCGACTCTTTCCGATTACGATGGACGGCATACCAAGCGGCAAGCGACAGGAGCATGCTGCTGCTGTTTCTGTTTGGGTCGAACCCAGACGACCGCAGTGGTTATTGGCTGGTTATCAAAGGAATTATCGTCCTACCCTACTCCACCTAGCCTCGCCGCACCGAACCCCCCACGCTGTGTTGTTGCAGGCAAGGCCCCTCAGCTCAATCACGCCGCTTTCGTCAAGATCTCAGGAGAATGGAGTATGCAGGTACAGTACGATTATGCATGTGCCTACTATAGTGTTTCCTTCGAAACTATAGGCGACATACACTCACGAGAGACTACTGTACCCATTCGAAAAAGTATACAAGTCGAAGGCATGTGTTCAAGTCTTTGCTGTGAGTGGGTAACTGTGGGCCGCTGGATATTAGCCTTCCGTATTTATTTGGCGTCCCTATCATAACTCTTTTGCTTCTCGCCTGTTGTCGATGTTGATGTCGACGATTCAAATCGCGCTCGGTACATATCTAAGAGTAATATAATCGTGTGTTGGAGTCTTTTTTGTGCCTTGATAATAGCAGATCAAAATCGTTTGTGTTACGTGGCCGATGTGGTGGGTGCGTGGTCCATCATACGTCATGAATCGTGATGTCGTGCTCTCGCAGGTCACGAAGGCACTAATGGCGGCAGTCGCCAGCGACGAGTTTTTGCTCATCAAGTGCGGTCTCATCATGTACAACAAGCTCATCGAGGTGTGTGCAATGGCCTTCGTTTTATCTCGCCGCCGCCGCTTCTGCAGCAGCTTGCTTCATGACCGGCGGAGACATTATCAAGCCCGTCAATCGTTGTAGTCGTAAGTCTTTTGTGACGCGAAAACGAAAAGTGAAAGGACATTCTGCGGTGCCCCTGTACGGAACTCGCACGGAGCGGTAGCTCCAGGCTATGCGTATCTCACACCAACAAGGAAAATACGATACAGGCCAATTGAGGTCTTGGTGGTGTGACGTGCAATGCTACCTCTCAAACGCGGCACGCTCTATCCGCTCTTTGTCTCGTGTCTGTACCCTTTTCCGCTCGTCTTGTTTCGACTGTACCCTCCACACTTGTGACTCCCCTTGTTTCCAATGTACCCTTGTTTGTCCCATGGTTGTTGCGGCTTTACCCTTTTTTGTCCCATGGGTGTTAGGGATGTACCACTTTTTGTCCCATGGTTGTTGCGGATTTACCCTTTGTCGTCCCATGGTCGTTGCGGCTGTACCCTTTTTTCGTCTCGTCGTTGTTTGGACTATACCCTTTTTTCGCCTGGTGATTGTTTCGGCTGTACCCCCTTTTGTCCGGTGATTGTATCGACAGACCTTCCCGGTGTCCCTCAAGGAGCGGAAGTTGCTGTGCCTCAAGCTCCAGCCCAAGACCGACAAGGCCATCGAGCCCCGGGATGACATTCGCGTTCCCTGCACCAGAATAGTCAACCAGCTAAATAAACAGGTGCATCCGCGTTCATGTGCTGTGAACACGTGGCGTGGGTAGGAAAAGGGCGCATGTTTGTGCACCTGTCGTCTTGTTGCTGTGTTGTATTTTTCACACGGCTCTTGTGCTGTGTAGGATTGGAGATATGTGTCATGTGTCATGTTGTCCTTTCAAAGTGTTAGTGCATCCTCGCACTCCCGATATGACTGAAAGGAGAAAAAAAGCCCCTTCGAAGTTTGTTGGGTATAAAACTACTCGAAATGACGAAATAGCAGCTCGTGGAAAATAACAACAGCCCGAACGGTTAATGACGCAGCGAGGCGTTTATTCTTTTTCTAAGAAATGCGCTGAAGTGTCAAAGAGCACAAGCTTTGCCGAAGTAGACAGCTCGATTTTTTCGGGGTCGGGCCTCTACCCTTGACGCCTACCTCATGTCTTCCAAGTCCTGATGTTACTCTTCCAACGTTATCGTTAGTCTCAATTGTGGCGGTTTGTGTGTGTTCTCCCCTCGCCGCGCTTGTTCAGATTTCGAACTCCCCGCCGGACCCTGTCGCTCCCGGCCAGCGACCTGCTACCGCTTCCGCTAAAACCACATCGGCTGGCGGAAGCGGTGCAACGTCTGGGTGAGCGAGAGTGAGACTTATTGCCGGACCCTGCCGTGTGCTCTGGTCGTATTTCCGTTTGGTTCCCTGCTGTCGATGTGCCGAAAATGTCACACTGAATACGGGTCGTGCCTTGATTGTACGGATGCATGTGGCGGGTGTGTGTGGCATGGGGTGATTGATGTTTGGTGGCTTTGGTACATGTGGCATCGTTGCAAGATGTGTAGGCACGTAATTGGTGAGTAGCCGGGAGACGGGTGGTTACCCTTGAACCCCCTGGTGTTGTGTTCTCCTAGCACTCCCGAAGCACTCAAAATCAACATAGAGTGGAACACCGGTTTGCAGCGACCGTGTGTGTGTACATTGGTGTCGGCACGTATTAACCAATCTCCCTCCCATCTGCCCCCCCCCCCTCTCATATACGATTCTCAGAAGAATCGCTCCTGTCAGCACCACCACCTCCGGCAAATCAGCAGCAGGCGGCGGCAGCCAGACCAGCCGGGGCAAGAGCAGCACAGCCCTGGGATCAGCAGCAGCCGACGGCAAGGCGTCTGCTCTTTCCGCGACCGCTAAGCCTTACGTTCCAGCTCTCGCCGCATCCGGCCGCGGCGAGTCTTCTTCCGCTTCGTCGGCGGCAACCAAGCAGTCGGGCAGTCAGACTGGCAAGAGGCAGCAGGCGAACAGCGGTTCTGTCGGCGGTGGCCAGGTTGTCAAGAAAGAGCCGGCTTCTTCTGCTGCCGCTGCGACGACGGCGACGACGGTGACAGCATCGGGGGTGGCGAAGAGGGCGCGGGACGGTGGAGAGTCGGCCAGGCTGAAGCCGGCTAAGACGGCGAGGGTGGCCGCTGCTGTTGCCGTAGGCGAGCAAGAGCTGGGAGAGATCGTGTCTGAGAAGAAGGCGCCGGCTGCCTCTTCGGCGGGAGGGGGGGAGGTAAGACTTTCAGTTAGGTCCATCTCTGCTTTTTGTCCATGTCTAACATTGGACAGGTAGCTGCACGATCGGGTCTTGGTTGCGCCAAAAGTAGTGTTAAGCTTGCTTTCGCATGGCCGCCACGCTCGTTACAACAAGAGTTGTGTCCGATGACACCTCAAAGACAAAATTCTTAAGTGTACCACCCGACGAGACCCCTGCCTCCTTCGCTCCAGGGAAAACACGCGCTGGCGACGCCTAGAGATTCGAGGCCCCTTCGAAAGCCGGCAACAGCCTCCTCTTCTAACAACTCCTCCTCCGAAGCCGCTTCGAAAGCGGGGGGCAACTCAAAGCCTTCGACGACTTCGTCCACCTCCAAGCCTTCATCGGCAGCTTCGGGGGCCCCGGCAGCGGCAACGGGGGCTTCGTCCAGGCAGTCGTCTACCAGCGCTCGGGCCACCGGTGGCCGCGAGCCTAGCGGCAGCAAGGTGGACTCCAAAGTCGCGTCTGCTTCGGGGTCTGGCACCACCACCGGTTCTTCACGTGGCGGGCGTGTGGTCAGGACTGCCAGCTCTACCGGTGACGGCGGTGGTGGCGGCGGCAGCAGCAGCAGCAACGGCGTGGATGGCAAGGATACGGGGAGGAGGTCTGGGGGACAGGGTGAGGGGGACAGGGAGAGGCGGGACAAGTCAGGGAGGACGAGCGATGCCGACTCTCGCGCCAAGGTATGTGTTGTCAGGTTGTGATAGGTATCATGGTCATGGAGGGTGCAGAGCATGGGGACCAAGGACGAAAAAGGGGGTGCGCATGTTGTGTTGCGTGTCGCCCCAGGAAATCAATCCAGTGGTACAATAGAACTTTGTGTTTTGTAAAAATTGAAAACATCCTAAAGCAAAAAACTACTTCTTGCCGTAAAATGTTTGTGGTGAGCGTCACCATGTACCACCTTTGAAGGAATTTTTTGTTTTGGAGTCACAGCAGAAAGTTCGTGCCGGCATCGTGGTGGTTTCAAAGTTTGTCGTTTATATCGCCATATTTTGTTCCTGACCTCGGCTTCGCTTTCGACACAGGGTGAACACGCTTTAGTTGTTCGCCGTCCCGTCCTCCTACACGCGTACCTCCGTTGATGTTTCTTACTTTCGCTTGACGTCACCCAACCGCTCGCCTTTATTTTTCGTCCTGGACTTTGTGTTTGTGCAGGCCTTGGCTTCCCAGGACATGGGCGTGGAAGGTCCGGCAGCGCCACGCGATTCCGGCAGTGGCAGTGGCACTCTCTCCGCCCGTCGCAACCGTGACTCTCGAGGAGGAGGACGAGGAGGAGGAGGAGGGGGTGCGGCCCTCCTCGGCAGTATGTCGCGAACCAATAGCAACAGCCGCTTGGCCAACGGCCGCAGCAGCGGCGGGGCTCAACCGAGCGAGCACGATCGCCCTGGCGGGCGGGAGGCAGCAAGCCGTCACGGTGGCCACGCTCGATGGGTGGACGAAGATGGCCGCGATGCTGCCAGCGGCGGTGGCGGTGGCGATGCCGGGGGGGTGCGATTCGAAGGCCCCGCTCGTGCGGGAGGGGGGCAACGGACGACGGCCGAATCTAGCCGCAGCGGTGGCGGCGCCGGCTCCCGCGGAAGCAAGAGGGGACGCAGCGCTGAGCCTGAGCGAAGCGGGGGCAGAGACGGCGGCGTGTACGATGGTCCCGGCAGCGGCGAGGGGGACCCTAGCCAGGCATTCGACAGCAAGCGCATGCGGCAGCCGGACCAGGCGATGATGCCGCAGCCGGAGGGCGGCGGCGGGAGAAGGGGCTACGCGAAATCTTCGGTGGATCGCTGGGGTCGGGGGTACGGGGGAGGCGGCGGTGGTGGAATATGGGAGCGGGAGGGGCCCGCCGCACCCAGTGATGCCAACAGCGGGCGCTATCATGATGACCTTAGGCACGGAGGGGGGGGCGGCGGCGGCGGCGGCGGCGGCGGCGGCGGCGGGGGAAGGATGCAGATGCCGTCTCACGAGGTGCCGGACAGGCCGGCGGCGTACGAAGCCCGCGGTAGGGGGAGGGTTGGGCGTTTGGGGGCGGTGATGGACGATGGCCAGGACAGGGGTGGCGGTGGTGGTCACCGTGATGCGCGTGGCGGCGGTGGCGGCAGGGAATACCCGTCCGATGAGGACATTCGTTCTCGGTCCTCGCGCGACAGCAAGAAGTCGAGAGGCGAAAGGCAGCGCGGCGGCAGCAACCGGGACGGTGACGGCGGCGGCGCGAGCGGGAGCGGCAGGAAGGACAAGAAGAAGATCAGCAAGAACAAGAAGCGGAAGCACTGAGTCGGCCCCGAGATGGCGCTCTTCGACCCATGCGACACGCACGAGAGGAGGAAGGGCGGTTTGATGACCCCTCCAAGTGTACCGGCAGAGCGCGAGACTGTTAACATTGTTGGGGGGGCGGGGGGGCGGGGGGGTCGGTGCTTGCTCGGCAGGGAGCTCAGCCGGATATGGTGATAGCGGTTGATTCTGCATCTGCAGCTGTCCTTCTCCATTGTACTCCCCGCTGCCAAGAGCGGATGTTTGTTTCGTTAGTTAAAACTGATCGCGTCGATTGCAGTACGAAACACCTGTTGTTCAAGTCACGAGGCAACGGACGTTTTTATCATATGCATGCATAGCTTTGGAGCGGCTTTGGCAGCGGGGGGTGGTGACAACGGCAAAAGCACGAATAGTGTAGTAGAGTCAGGTGAATATTCTGTTTAAATGGGACTGTTTTTCAGGCAACATTCGCCGTTCTGCTACGAAAGGTTTTTGCATGACGATTGAGTTTACGCTTGCGTGGAATGGCAGTTGTACCACACCTACCTGCCGAGGACCGCAGGCGAGGACATGAGGACATATATGTGTATTTCCGTGCAGTGTCGCCAACAACTGGTGGTGTGTTCGATGCGGGCAACAAGAAGAGGACGGTTACCAAACAGTCGTATGCAGAACACGGTTCGTGTTGATGCGCCGTATCTACATGTAACATGTAACCGCGGAGCGCTTCGAAGCTCGGGCAAGGGATGGTGTGCTTTGCTTTGCACTCGCGGGCGGGCGTGTCCGCACCGGAGGTTATCTTGTTACATCCATGTCCGCCGGGTAGCGCGTGTGTGATTGTTTTGTAGAGATTAGCACGCTGTAACCGGCGGACCAATGAAATGGCGTCTGTGCCAGCGGGTACAATCAAGGTGGTCACCGGCAGGGGGGCCACACTTTCGATCAAAAATTAAATGCACAACGTGCTGAGTGCGAATGCCAACACAAATCTCTGTACAAACCATTCGCGCGCGCGTGTTTGATGTGTGTTTCTCCTTTGGATGACGCTTTTGTACGTCCGCTTCTTCCCCCTTTTACGCCTCTGATCGGAAGGACTTTACGACGAAGTGGCATCCGTCGCTAGTTGTGCCCCCCCTTAAGCCACCTCTCGCCTTTCGTGCTACTGCTGTACCATACCGTCGTAAACAGGAAACAGGTCCTATGTGTACCGACCCAGGGCGTACCGCGCGACACGTGCAAAAAGAAAAGAACGCGGTGCTTTGTGGTTTCTCCGAGAGTTTCCCTGGTAGACCGTACCCTCGTACGTTGCGGGCGCCTACCCCCTCATGCAAGTTCCGACGAAACCCCTGTCTGGTACTTCTACAGTAGATTCCTAGTCGCGGGCGTGGTGGTTGCGTTCTGGACGGTGGTCTGTTCCAACGGGCAGGAACAAAAAACGCACACTTGTAGTTTTGCCCGCGTGTCCCTCCCAGCACGACCGAGAGACGGCGCACTGCTTGCTGACAACTGACACAGCACCGGTATATGTATGACAGGCCATGATCGATGGCGCCAGAAGATGATAATCACGTTCTGGTGCGACCAAGCACGACATGGAAGGAACCGCATGCATGATGCGCAGTCTGCTGAACCATCTCGACAGTAGCCGGCAACACCTCGGCCGAGTAGCGACAGCCTAGCCTTCCTGGTGAAAAGAAGCAAGTGCCAGCCACAATCACAGCCCCACCTTTGACCAAGACCCCCCCGACGTTGTAAAACAAGCCCACCCTCCCCCCGGTATTTGCCATCGGGGTTGGGTTTTCGTCGCTTGGCAACGACGTTGTAAAACAAGCCGTCCCCCCCGGTGTTTGCTAGACGGAGAACTGTCATCGACATTGAGCAGGGGGTCCCACAAGGTTGCACGCTGTCCCCAACATTGTTCCAGGTGTTCATCAACGATCTGTTGGAAGTCGTAGAGGCAGTCCGGAAGGGAGTAAAAGTAGGGGACACGGAAACGTCGGTTTCAGGAATGCTGTTTGCGGATGATTTTGTCGGTATGTCGGACACCCCTGAGGGACTGCAACTGCAAATTGACGCGGCGAAGAAGTTTACTGATAAGTGGAGATTGTCTGCCAACGTTCAGAAGAGTGCCGTCATGGTATGCAACGAGAACAAGGAGGAACCAGTAGAACATAGATGGAAGTGGGGGATCGAGGAGATTGCAGTAGTGGACCAGTACACATACCTTGGAGTAGAGATCGCAAAAGACTGCTCGTGGAATGCACACATGTCCAAGGTAGCGGAAAAGGGCAAATCACGAGCAGGGAAGCTGCA